TAAAATTTCTTTACATAATTTTTAGCTTTAACCAGGACGTGTTATTGAATTCTTTAATTGGATCGAAGCTCTATGAAATTTCGTAGTCGTCATTTAAGTATTGAATGTTTGATGTATTTTCTCCAACAGTACTTTAATAATAAATAAAGGTTTCTCTTTTTTTCATTTTTAAAGCATTAATGTCAGCTTCGATATAGTGTAAATAAAAAATATTAAGATATCTGAATAATTATAATTACAATAGATAAGATATTAACATAAATAAATTAATAACTAATTACAAAATTAATTATCTTTATAATTGTTATTTATATTATTATTGATTATCTATATTAATTACTCTATTTTGTTTTTTATTTTTATCCTTATTTCTGTTTTTTTACATTATTGGATATATTTGCTATATCTATGATATGATAAATGCGATACAACGAGAAAGAGAGATCATTCTTCGAATGGCAGAAACTATAATGTTCGATCCGCATTGCACAATCTCTCTCTATTTTGGCTTTCTTACAACTAGATCTTGGCTTTGTTCCCGAATTGGGAATGTCTTTTAGCTGTGGTAATAAAATGAACGCCGGGCATGCGTCTCTGTGACATATTTATTTTTAATAGTGCGTAAGCGAAAAAAATTGATTCGCTCCGATATCAATGGAAATAAAGGCGAAATATACGACTGCAACGATTCGTTTTATGTGCTCGCAAAATTTTGTGTTTTTTCTAGGAATTTGTTCAAATTCAATGAAAATTCTGTTTTTATTTTATTGACTTCCGATTCACAATAAATTATGCGCTTTACACGATATTTTATTGTGTGTGTGTGTGTGTGTGTGTAGCCGTTTTCTCGCTATTTGCGAATTCGAGAAATTCTGCGCGTTTTTTTTTATGGGATTATCGTCGAATCGTAATAACGTTGCCAAAATTCAGTAATACCATCACTTGACTTTACGTCCGAATTATGGCGCCATTAATTCTCTGACACTATTTGGTAGAGCGATCGGGAACATTAATAAAGAATGTTTTTGTCTGAATGAATCAACTTCAAGAAGTATTTTTTCGCAGACATGACAGGCAGCAAAATGTTCTTATTGAATACAGATTGGATTTATTTTTTATTTTAATTCCTTTAATATGTTAATCTGTTTTATATAATTATTACATTAACTCTTAACTATCGTCATGGGTTTACTGAACTCATATCCAATTTTTCAATGTTTATCAAAACATCTACTAATATGTTTTAAATAAGGATCAATGAGAGAAAGAGAAAAATAAATAAATAAAAGTCTAAACATTGAAAAGTATAATAAAAATGTTTCCAAGATGCAAGATTAATTATTTCTTTACGATGTCAGTTAAGGGTTAATACAATTCATTATGTCAATGAAGAGCTTGCATTAATAATTATTTTATTTTGCTTATCTTATTTACAGTGTGTTTAAAATATATACGGAACTTTTTATTTATACATTGTTGGAAAATTTGTGTTGTATGTAATACATTTCATATGTCCCAAATGGTCTACTCAAATTTTTGTATTCATTTAATATAATATGAATATCTTCGTCAGTGAATATCATAATAGTCAATTATCCACGCTCTACTGGTAAAAGTCTATAAAAAGGGATATGCTTCTATAAAAGGGAATTGCTTCTGAAATGGAAAAAACTTGGTTTTTTTTTTGGTGATTTGATATATAAGAAAATTTCCTGCAGCAACTTATTAAGAGCTTATGAGTTATCAAAAGTACTTAAACCTAATTATCCATTTAGATTAATTATTTCTTCGATCAATAGTCCGTTAGACATTGGCGAATTTCTTGCATAATATTACAGCTAATAATGTCCCCAAATTTTTTAATAACGTAGAGAATAGTTTCTAGGTAGTTAAAAAATTACAGAACGTATATATAGAATTTAATTTTGTTTGAATTAAATGTAAAGTCTCTATTTATTAATGTATCTATAGATTTGGCTATTGAGAAAGATAGATTTCAAAAAGATGGCCATTTTGAAAATTGCATGATTTCTAAGACTGAATTTATTAAGACTATACAAATAGTTTTAAACGGCATTTTACATTTGACAATTGTTTTTATCAATAAAAATTCAGTACTCCAATGGATTTCCCTTTTTCTCCCATTGTGGCGAATTTAGTACTTCAGGATTTAGAGATCGAAGCGACACGAAAAATATCCATATCCTTGTCTCTGTATTTTAAAAGACATTGTCATGATTGTTCCAATGGACATGATTGATACTGTGAAACAAATTTTTGAGTCCTTTCACCCGAGAATTCAATTTACGATTGAATTTGGAGGGGATTCAATCAATTTTTTTTTGACTATAATAAATAATAATAGTAAGGAATTCGATTAGTTTCATAAGTCGACGGGTAGGTTTCTCAACTTTTTGTCAGCATATCCACTGTCCAAATGAGAGGCACTATAGGAATGATCGACAGATGTTTTTTACTCTCTTATTCTAGATTTCACAAAAAAAACTCAAGATTTATTATTAATACGTTACTTGAAAACGATTATCCTCCCGAGTTTTCGCTCATTATCGAATTAATTCCATAATAAAATCGTTGTTTTATATATATAAATCAAGGCGCAAAATAACGTTACAGATTAATTTCAAGAAAATATATGTAATTCGTATATTTTATTTTTTATTTCATCTAGTTGTGAAGAATTCAGGAACACAATAAAAAATTTGAATGTTAAAGTAGCTTCCTTCAACTCAGAGAGTCACTATATTTATTACACACATTATAAAGATCTATATTTATTCACTAGTCACTATATTTATTACACTACATTATAAAGATCTTTTCTCATTTTGGATGTTGTCCAAAAGTATCCATAAGTAACTGACTAGTAGCAGAGCATGGATAATTAACTGTTTATTTATATTATTATATTCATTAATATTCATTGAGGAAGACTCCAAAGTGAGTCGAAACAATTGTGAGTTCAAACAATTCTTTGAAATAATATATTTAATATATTATTAATTTCTGCGCTCATTAATTGTGCTATTACTCTCATTAGTCTTATTTGAATTTCTTTGACTTTTTTAAAAGTATAATTAACATTTATGACGTGTTAAATTAATACATATTTCATTCATTTATCTTTAGAATTTACGTTTTAAAACATATTATTTTTATGTTATAAATTGTGTTATTTTGACACTAAGAACATTGGATATTAATTTAACACAAAAAACTTAAATAACATGATCATTTATGTTGAATTAACACTCGAATATGTTAACAAAATTTAATACAAACGAGGTTAACAAAAACGCGAGTAGACTGTTTTTCAACACAAATACACAATGTTTTTTATTGTATAAGATTCGTCATATTTTTAGCATTATTTTTTTCCGATTCTGCCGATTGACATTTCAAATGATGATGCGACGTAATTACAAGCGATGACTATTATCTGCTTGTCGCGTCTCTTCATTAATGACTTGTCTAGTTGGCCGCCGCGAATTGTGCCGATTGGCTTTACTGGGTTTCTTCCCGTCAGAGAGAAGTGCGGAGATAGTTCGATTCAATCGTGTTTACGCTACGAGATTAATTGGTCTCGCCTCGGACTTGGGACTCGCTCAGCTGACAACGCTGAATATTCTCGCGTTTATCGACACAAACGCGCAGCGTAAATGATTGAGTCTCATTCTAGATGATTCGTCAACTTGCTTCGATAGAAGACTTAAACTGATAACGGGATAATATTCATTTTACTGAGAAGTTTATTTACGTTAGATGTTTTATTGTACGATTATATGTTATATAATATTATAATTTAAAGAATAATATCAATTTGTATTATTAAGTTTCTGTTGCATTAAACAAACGTGTTGCTGCTTATTCTAATTTCTTAACTTCTTTTCATCTATTTCTAATGTCACATCTTTTAAGTGTATGCTCTAGGCGTAAAGTGCATTTTTAAATAATAAATTTAAAAGTGTGACTTATTTAGTGCTGGACTTAGTGAGCTTTATTCGGCTCAGGTATCTTATATATTTATTATTTGTAATTCATCAATTTTTGCGATATTTTTGTAGAGATAAGTCTAAAAATCTTAATTGTTTATGTAATTTAACTGAATTATTAAACGAGAATTAATTGAATTACATTACACAGTTTGAAAATTTGCGTTAAATTCAAAACAATTTAGTTTCAAACGGTCCACTTAAATTTTTTGTCTTAATTTAACACAAGATAAATATATTAGAAGGTAACACAAATATCATGTAAAAAAATGGACACAAAAAATGTAACACAGACGCAATTTGTAAATAAATTGTGAAACCATGTTTTTTTTTTAGTTAAATTAATAAATCTTTCTGTTAATGCATGGATATTTGGATATATCGAATTTTAAACAGTAAAGATTTTTATATTTTTATGCGAATTTTGTCATAACGCCTCAGAAACCTCACTCTTTGAATAACAAACAATTTGCATTTGTTTGCACAAATTGTATCTCATTTTTGTTTTTACATTTTTAGTGAAAATCTTGGGAAACACGGTAAGGAAAAACTGAAAAGTTATACATTATAAAAGGATTAATTAACACATAATTTTATTCATTTATTTCAGACTTTACGTTTTAAAATACATTATCTTTTTTTATTTGGTCACTTACTTTATTATTTTTGTTATTTATTTACTTACATAAATATATTATTTTAACATTAAGAAATGTTAAATATACACTTAAACGCAAAATATTTAGATAATACAATCACATTATGTTAAATTAATATACGGATATATGTTAAAAATTCAACATAAAAAAGTATGTTGCACAATTATCTGATTTTAACATAAATGGAAAATAAATGACGATCGTTGTCTCTTCAAAGACATTAAACGATTGTTTTCATGCGCAAATTAGCGTGGATATAAATGGTAAAAATACGCCAGACTAAGAAGTCTTCGATAAAGTCTTACGTGAAGGAAATATTGGCTTTTTTCAGTCCGCCGACGTTCAAAACAGCGACGCCGACGTCGCGCACGCAATTGAAGCTGCAGCTGATGCGGGAGCAGTTGCAGGAACAAGAGAGGCGACAGGCGGAATTCCGGCAGAGCTTGCAGCAGCAAAGGCCAGCTGCCGCACCACCCAGACCAGTGCCACCTACGCCATTGCCCACTATCGGTGTGGATGTTCCACCGCAAGTATTACAAGTATGTCTCGCCTTCGTACATCATCCGATCTGCACGATCGATGCTAAATTGTTCGCGCAAAGCTCGAATCATGCAACACGATAAAATTATTTTACTTTGCGCAATATCATGTTGTTATATTAAATTATAAATTCCTAGCGTTATTACATTACGGGACATTATGAATTGCGTGATTACTCATTCCCTTTGCGCAAATAATTATTACACGATATACAATACATCAGTATGTTGTATATCGTGTATACTATATTATTATATATCTATTTTAGATTAGTTAATAATTTATAATATACATATATATGTACATATATATATATGTATACGTATATGTATTAGGTGTTGGAATTAATTCGTAGCGTTTTTTAATGAAAGAATGTTATTTATTTCACATGAGCATTAAAAAATACATTAATGAAAGTACTTCCCATCACTTGTAAAACGCTACGAATTAATTCCAACACCTAATATTAAAAATTGAATAATCTTTTTCTCAAGAAAAGGGACAATTTGAAATTTTTCGAATTTCGTATTATGTGCGGATTGTATTTTAAATATGTCGGTCTTCAATCAGAAAAAAGGATAGAAGTTAATTTTAAATATTTCCCCAAGAAATAACACCAGAAAAAATGACACAAATCAAAATAGAGATAGTTTTTCCAAAGTAATAACGAGTTTTTTTAATTTGCATTGAATGTTTTTTAATCCCAACAAAAAATCGATGGATTCTAAAAGAGCTTTGTACTTTTTTTATGTTTATGCTCTGTTCACAAAGTCTCATCTTATGTTCTCAAATCAATTTTATGATTTTTTTTCGAATTTAACGCAACAGAGCTTGAGGAATATTATTTTTTAATGAAAAAATTTATATTGTTTTCCAATATGATTTTTTTGAAATAAATAAAAATAGATGAACAATATCAATCTCTATAATATTAAATGTATATAGAAGAAGTATAGTAAAAAATGTATATAGAGGAAGATCTATAAATATCCAAATATACGACTAAACTTATAAATTTAGTTTTGCCAAAATAAAAAAATTAATATCTACATTACTTCTAGAGAACTTAAAATAAATTTGTAATTAGGTTTTTTTGTTAACTTATATTTAATTATGATGTAGTAAATAATAAAAATATGTAATTTTCTTTTTCTTTTCATGAACAATTTTGTATTTTCCATTTGAAAGGATAATAACGAAATTCCCGAGATAATGAATTCAATAAACAAACAAATAACAACGGTCAATTGGGAATTGGCACTGTAGACGGTATACAAATTTGTTTTAAACAAGCTTTATTTCAATAATAAGAAAACAATTAGTACATGTTTCAATTAATCTTTTAGCCTTCTGTAGCAAAACAACATAAAAAATTATTATAGTAATTATTACAGTTACTGTGCGCCTCACAACGATTGTGAGATGAACCTCAATTTACGTAATAATTTTTTATGTTGTTTTGCTGAAGATTAAAAAAAGCTTTTTTAAAGCAAAATTGTGTATCGCGTAATTTTGCTTTATAAAATACAGCGCCAATTCCTAATTGCTCGTTGTCATCTGTTTGTTTATTGAATTTTTTATTTGTGTCACTTTTCTTGCACAGAAGCGCGATATACAATACATATAGTTTGATAAAGTATGACAATTGAAAGTCCCAATCTTTTGTCGACATTCTTAGCTTCTTTCTTTGATTTTCCTTGTATTTGATGTTTTGTGTCAAAACTGGGGCGTCCGTTGAAGCTATAATAGAACTTGGCGTAAGTACCGAAGTATCCCAAGTCCACCGCGATGGGGGGTTTTCCTAGATAGAGTCTTGTTATCCAAGTAGCGTTGGGTCAAGCATTCGGTTACCATTGTTTGCGTTTCCGTCGCTTAAAGCTCCGTGCATATAGATATACATGCAGAAGGGCGGGCGTGGCTAAGATAACGATACCTTATAGTTCCGAGGTTCCGTAGTTTGCCGTATCGCAGTAAGGCGAGCCGAATTCTGTAGCGTCGTTAATAGATCTATTCGGTACACCATGTCTATACTGTTAGAATTGTCCCCCTCCCCCCCCCCCCCCAAAGTAATGGGTAGATGGTGAGAGGATATACGAGAGGGAGAAGGCACGAGAGTCGTAGATGGTTTACCTTGCAATTAGCTCCACGCAATATGGTTGTTGCATTCGTGAAAGGTTGAACATATTATAGCTGCAATAATGGTCTCGTCATAGAATTTTCACATGAGATGTAGATGTTTAAAGACGAAACATCTTATAAAGAGTAATTGAGAATAATTTCTAAATTTAATTTTTTTCTTATGTACAGATATTGTACTCTTACTTTAAAAGTGATACAACTCTAAATATTAAGTTTTTTCTAAAAAAGGGGAACACTATTTTTAAATTTAACAGAAAATTATTGATTCATCAAATATAAAAAATATATTCTTGGCAGATTAAATGTTATTTTTGTCATTTTTCTGTCATTAAAAAGTACTTTTTTGAGTTGTAATGATTTTGACAAATTTTTATTAAATTAAGTTAATTCACTTTTGATGAAGTAGGGTAATATTTACTTAGCTCATTCATGGTAGTAACTAAAAAAAATCATGTTTTTTTAAGTTTATTCAGTAAGGATAATATGATAAACGCGTTTTTATGAACCTTTAATGATTATTTATAAGTTTTTTCACTCCCTGCTGAAGCACTATAATATTAAAAAGTGATCTTAAGTGATCGTATTTCGTAATGTTATATAGATTTGTAATTACATACTAGATATCGTAATATCTGAATAATTTAAAATAATATTATATATGTATATATAAGAATATTAGATTAATATATAACAGGAAAAGACAAGAAAATCGCGGATCGAATACTAATGTCAGTTTAATTTTCCTTACATTTCATTTCGCACTAGAAACATTTATTTCAAAATTATTAATTATTATTAAAAAATTGATCATCTATAAAAAGAAAGTAATAATGCCTCCATTTTTTATTCATTTATTTAAAATTTTTTCCATTACATTAGCGACTATACAGTATAATAACACATTTGTTAAATCAGGAAATTTAAAGATAGTTAATAAAAAAAAGCATTAATAATAAGCAAAGCACATTAACAGTACAGATTTGTGCACGAGCTTAATCGATTCTCTAATTAATTATCACTGTCTACGCGACTCGTCCGCAAATAAAGAGCTAACGCACCACGACATGCCGATTTTCTTCAGGTGCGCACGCTGTTAGAGAATCCGACTCGCTATCACGTCGTGCAAAAGCAGAAGAACCAGGTGCGCCAATACCTACACGAGTCGTTTCGTGGCGGTGAGGGCGGCGGCGGCGGCGGCAGTGCTGGCAATGCGGTCGTCAGCGGCAGCGCCGGTAGCGAGGGCGGCGGCAGGACACCGGTCGACGCCGGGCCGCCACCCGTCCCAATGGTGGTGCAAAGTGCACCGCCCGGCCCGCAGCTGCATCACCCGAAGCCGCAGCATCCTCATCTCGCCTCGTATCCGCACGCCCCCGCGCTGCTGCCGCATCACCCTGGTAACCCGACGGTGGTCTCGGCAAGCCCGGACCCTACCACCACTGGCACCATGTCCCCAGGTCTGTCCAGCGTCGCCACCAGCAACTCCGAGGTACGTGTGGTGTGTAGTATGCGAGTTGATTGCGTGGACAGTACAACGCAGTGTTTCTCAAATACGAGAAACCAGATATCTAAGATATGATATTTCATCGAGCGAAAATATCCAATCCTTTCATCATTCAAAAGTTAAAAATACACTGAAACGATTTCGTGGAAAGATCTCAACTTTTATTAAATACAGATTTAATAATAATTTTGTTAGAAATCAAAATTGTTTGCAGCATTGCACATCATTTTTTAATTTTCATAATTATTTTTTGACAGTTCAACAAAATTATTTGCTGCATCTAACAAAAGTTTAGATCTTTTAGCAAAATCGTTTTTTTCAGTGTAGAGAGGTAAGAATTATAAAATTGGTTAGATAAAAGCCTTATAGAATTATAAAAGAATTATAAAAATATTTGCATAAAAGCTAGAAGATTAATTTGATTTATTTGAGATAGAAAGAAGAAATAGGAAATGAAAGCGGGACAGTATGTAGAAGGAATGTTTTCGCTAAAGTATTTAAAAATTTTGCTAGACACTAATCTGGAAATAATTTTATTCAACTATCAAAATAATTGTGTAGGACGCTCAAGTTACTATATTATTGTATAGAATATCAAAATTTTCTGCAATATTGTTCATTAGCCTTGAATTTTTTTATTACATAACTACAAAATTATTTTCAGATTTGTGTCTAGCTAAAATTTTAGATAATTCATTTTTTTCCGTGTATGAAAGAAAATGGGAAAATAAATTTTATATTGGAGTAATAATATAATGGACATTTTCGATTTCGGAATGCGCGAGTTTCGATCGATGAAACCAAAATGATGATGTAGCTGTGCGCGTCAAGAAGCCTCGCGACATCGTAAGGAAAGTTATTTTTCTAACAATAAGTCATTCCCGTTCATTCCATCCAATCTACGTACGACGTTTTCGATTAACGCTAACTGGTCTTATGTAATCCGTCAGTTATCCCGTGTCGCCGGGCGGCAACTTCACTCTCTCGCTCGTTTAATAATTAATCACTAGTATTCTCCAACACATTGTCGATTCTTGCGTAATCTTGCGAAACGTGTGACGTCGCGCTTTGAATAATTTCTCGATTAGAATTGGATTCTGTAATTCTTAATGATAATATTGTTATCATTACATTATCGTTGCGCAAGTATAATATGTAATTAAAAAACTAACATCATTATAACGATAACGACATGATCGTTAAGATTTTGAGAATCTACATAAAAAAAGACATTTTGTATTTGTTAAAACCGATCTTTGTTAAAATTTTTATGTTTTAAATTTTAATCACAATCGGTTCCTGACTTTTTCCTTTTAATTTTTTGGTGACACTTTCAAATATAGTATACATTATATTTTGATAAAATTGATGTGTTCTGCCAATACATCTCCACATGCTATTGCATCTGCTATTGCATCTCTCACATCACTGATTTGAATTTGTCTAATTATGAAAATCTAATCATTTAATAAAATACTGATTTCTATTTATAGAATGGCGAGTTTTGCACGATTGTAATACACACACACACACACACACACACACAAAATTTTATATTTTATTTCATACATTATAGTGACACCTAATTATCTGCTTATAAATAATACATCAAAATTTTAACGTTTCTATAAATATTTTGTGACTGAAAAAAATGTATTTCTGAAGAGTCGTCTAAGAGCGGCAAAATACATAGTACTATTACTCATTATATCCGACGATGTTGTCATTAAATATACAACCTAAAAAGATCTAAAAAAAATTTTAAAGAAATATTTTTAAAAAATATTAGATACATATAAAAAAAAATTTGGAAAATGATGTCCTATAAACAGTACGGTGGAAAGGAATCGGTTTACATAATGTGATTGTATTCGTATTATTTTGATTGTGAATAATTTGCGTTAAATTAATATTCAACGTTTTCTATTAACGTCAAAATAACACAATTTATGAATAACTAAACAAATAACATATTATAGAACAATTTTTTTATTTCAAAATTTAAAATATACATTCAATATTTTAAAATTTTAAAATATACATAAAACAATTTTTGTATCTTGAAATGTTTATTTTAAGATACATGAATAAAATATTTTAATTAAAAATATTATTAAATATTGTGGATAAAAAACAGACTATTTCGATGAAATTTTGTGAAAAGCTTCATTTCGCGTTAAAATAGAAATTTTTAAAGGGATTTTTAGCGATTCTTACAAAAAAATTAATTTTTTAAATATAAAATAGCAAAAGATGTGTGTTATTATTATTTAGGAAGCGGGGAGTGTGTGGATCTTTGCTTTGCGTAGATAAAATCGCAGCGCTTGAATATTGTCACATTGTTATTCATTAAAAAGTTATTAACAAATAAAGTTGACAATTTAAATGTAATATGTTTAATTTTATAATTTAAATTTTACAGAAAGTTGTCCATGTGGAACTTTGTTTCGTGTCGTGAAATGTATGAGTGAACGCAGTGAGTTCTATTTTCCTTCCCCCCTCTTTTGGAAGAACTCCATTACCGGAAAACTAGACATGTAGATTTTGATGGAACTTTATTTTGCATGGAAAGTTGTAAATCCATTAATAGAATATAAACTAATATATTGTTCGTCTCATTATTTAAAAAAAATAACTTTTTCGTCATCAAAAATCCCTCAAAACTTTTATTTTAACCTGAAATGAGCTTTTTTTTTACAAAGTTTCATCGAAATCGGAGATAATTGGTTTTCGGAAATCTCCCCTTTTTTACGTAATATTTGCGTTACTTCTTAATATATTTATCTTATATTAAATTAACACAAAAATTTGAGTGGATGGAGGGCACGTAAAATGTGTTAAAATAAACACAAATTTTCTGTATATCTTCGAGACTTCATACTTATTCATTCACGGCTGATTCTCTGCGATCGTTCTTCGTCGCCGAAGCGCATTGGTCTTCCTTTTTCTTACCTTTTACGCGCACGCGTCTTAAAAGAATCCGCAAACGCGCGCACGAAGGAACCGCGCGTGCACTTAGCATGATACCAGCAGCACGTTTCATGACGCTGCAACACTAAAGCGGGATTCACGGCACGCACGCGGTGCTAATTGCCGTCTAGGTCTGCAAATCGATCTGATTTGCGTCGCAAAGCAGATCCGCAAACGGCCAACGGGAGGAAACTTGGAAAGTAGGTCCCTGGAAGACTTCATCGGCTCGTATTCTCACCGCGAACTTAGCGCTCCGTGGCTTTCTGATTACGAACTCTCGGTGACAACACATACGGTATTTGTGTGTGCACAATGTATTATTTTTACAGGACTGAGCACGAGATATTTTTAACGTCAAACGGCGAGTGAATATTCGCTAATTTCTTTACCACATTTATACAGAAAACGGTTGCAGTTAAAAAATTTCTTTTGATATATTGGACATACCGTTATTAATTCGATCATTATAAACGTCCAACACATGAAAAAAATAGTTTTGCTGAAGACCTAAAAATTTAGCTAAATATAAATCTGAAAATATTTTCTGAGATATTAAAATAATTATGTAGGACATTTAAACGTGACGAGCAATGCTACAAAAAGTTCTAACATTCTAGCAACTAATTTGAGCACTCTATATAATTATTTTGATGGACCAACAAAATTATTTTTAGATTTATATATTTAATTAAAATTTTAAAAACCTACTTTTAGTAAAGCCGCTTTTTCTGCGTAATTATATTTAACATTGCTAACATTATTTTTCCGATGCTGCACTGGAAAAAGAGTCTGCAGATTGCGTTAATTGGAGTTCTAGTGGAAAATGGACGAATCAGAATTTTATAGTTAAATCTGTTATAATTTTAGGCGAGATAATCAGAAGTTCAGTTATGATGACCGGGATTCTGATTGATATAATGGTTTATTCATTTTTAGTCAGAAATTTTTCTCAATGTGCTATATTATATATTTTCGACATTGCGCATTTTAGTTAACAAAGATTTACTTTTGATGATAGAGTACATAAATACGTTAAAAATTTGAACTTCGAGGTTTTTATTTTTTATATGACAAAACATGACCAAATTAATAGTAACGGAATATTAATGTTAACTTTTGAAAACCGCCTCTTTTGCTCTTTTTCTTGCAGCATCGAACGCACTACGCCGTGAACGCGGAGAAATTTACCGCAAAATCTGGCTCTTTGATTCTCAGTCTTTTGCCAGCATCGCAGCATGTGTACAACGTAATATTCTGCGCAAAACTTGGAGTCAGCAAACTTTAACGCCGAACGCAAGCTGCGAGAAAGACCTTTGCGTCGCGTTCTTCTTAATTTGCCGTCGACGCGAAAATTTTTGTCGCGGGCTAATCCGCGCGCCGCTGCTTTCGTCGACATTATAAAAGCCATCGACGCGTAAAGTACATGCAAACTCTTCTACGTCGCAAACTGAAAGTAATAATGTACTGTCGTTGCGTGCGTAATACCCGGTATATAGCGCGTATGAGGAACGAGCTGGTGGCTCGTTAACTCGTCAGCTTTACAATCCTCGGGCACTTAATAAGGCGAAATTGTTTTTGGTGATGATGTATATACAGTATGTACACATAGTAGAGCGACCGCCTTTAAATTGTTTCTTTGATCCGTCGTGCCCCGGCTACGAAGAAACTCGCGTATACCGGGTGTCGCGATCAACATTTTCGACAAACGTTTGAACGTGTGATTCGTTAATTCGCGAGTTTTCCTTTCTGACGTTAATTAAATCGTGATCTCGTGTGCGCGAACTTCTCAGAAATCAAATGAGTTCGTGCTATTTGTGGGATACGAGGAAAAAACCTGCTCTCGGAGTACAACGTGAACAAGTTGTAACTATTTACGTATTCGCGCTAAAACCGCAATGCTTGAATAAATAACATTTTTTTTGTACAATTATATTGATTTTGTGATTGTAGTAGTCAAAAGAATGATTGCTCCAGTATCTAAAAATTTAGATACAAACCTGAAAATAATTTTGTTA